GAACGACAATCCCTGTAAGACTGCTGGCATAGGCACAATATGGTATTGTTAGAACTTGAACTGATGTTCGGCATGTTCTAAATTTGAAAAAGAATTTGATTTCTCTTAGTACTCGTGACTCTAATGGTTGCAAGTTTTCAGCTGAAGGTGAAGTTTTGAGAGTTTCTAAAGGTGCTGTTATTACGCTTAAGGGAAAATAGAGAAAAAACCTCGATTTTATGCAGGGTAGTACTGTGACAAGTGCTGCTTCAGTATCTTCTTCAGATGATCAAGATTCAAAAACTACCCATCTATGGCATATGCATTTAGGGCATATGAGTGAGAGGGATTTGACAAAATTGAGCAAACGAGGTTTGCTACGTGGACAAAAGACAGGAAAGCTGAACTTTTGCGAGCATTGTGTCTTTGGCGAGCAAAAAAGACTCAAGTTCAGTACAGCTGTTCACAGGACCAAAGGCACTGTTGATTACATTCATTCAGATCTTTGGGGTCCTTCTAAAGTTCCCTCTCTTAGTGGTTCTCGATATATGTTGACTTTTATTGATGACTTTTTCAGGAAAGTCTGGATCTATATCTTGAAGCAAAAACATGAAGTGTTCCTTAAGTTTAAGCAATGGAAGGCCATGATTGAAAAGCAGACCGGAAAGAAGATCAAGCGTCTTAGAATAGATAATGGTTTAGAATTTTGCTCAGGAGAGTTTGACGAGTTCTGCAGGAATGAAGGCATTGTCAGACACCATACAGTTCGAAAAACTCCACAACAGAATGGTGTAGCAGAACGCATGAATAGAACTCTCTTAGAAAGAACTCGTTATATGCTTTTCAATGTTAGGTTGTCTAAGGATTTTGAACTGAAGCAGCCAACACAGCTTGCTATCTGGTGAGCAGGTCACCATCGACTGCTATTAAGGGCAAAACACCTGAAGAGGTATGGTATGGTACTCTTGTTGATTATTCTAATTTAAGAGTTTTTTAGATGTCCTGCTTATGCTCATGTTAATGAAGGAAAACTTGAGCCTAGAGCCAAGAAATGTACTTTTACTGGCTATGCATCCAGGGTGAAGGGATACAGGTTGTGGTGTCCCGATCCTAAGTCACCTAAGTTTATAACCAGCAGAGATGTTACTTTTGATGAGTTTGCTTTACTGCACCCGAGAAAGGAGTCTTTTGTTACAGGTGAATCTCGGGGTGTTAAGCAGTAGGTGGGGCATGACTTTGGAGCTCCAGAGAAACAAGTCAACACTCCAATTCAACCCAATGTTGAAGAGGTGCAAGATGATCAAGTACCAGATGAGCAATAGCACAGTATTGCTACAAGGATACAGAAAAGGCAGATTAAACCACCTCAGAGGTATGCTTATGCAGATTTAGTTGCTTATGCTTTGTCTGTGGCAGAAAATATTGAAGATAAAGAGCCTTCCACCTACCAAGAATCTGTTACAGGAAATGAATCTGCCAAGTGGACTGTTGCTATAACTGAGGAGATTGAATCTCTTCATAAGAATCAGACATGGGAGTTAGTGAAACCTCCTCAAGGCCAGAAGATTGTTGGCTGCAAATGGGTCTACAAGAAAAAGGAAGGAACTCTAGGTGTTGAAGATGCAAGGTACAAAGCACGTTTGGTGGCAAAGGGTTATAGTCAGAGAAAAGGTGTGGATTTCAATGAAGTATTCTCACCAGTTGTGAAACACACCTCTATCCGCGTGTTGCTTGCCATGGTTGCTCTATTTGACTTAGAGCTTGAGCAACTTGACGTCAAAAAAGCTTTTCTACATGGTGAGTTTGAAGAAGAAATTTATATGCATCAGCCAGAGGGGTTCGTTGTTCAGGGAAAGGAAGACCATGTTTGTTGGTTGAAGAAATCCTTGTACGGATTAAAACAATATCCAAGGCAGTGGTACAAGAGGTTCGACACTTTTTGGTTGGACATGGCTACTTGAGAAGTATTTATGACAATTATGTCTACTGTCGGAAGCTCTCAGATGGTTCTTTTGTATACTTCTTGTTATATGTCGATGACATGAAATCAACAATTTAAAATCTCAGTTGAATACTGAATTTGAGATGAAAGATCTCAGTGCAGCGAAGAAGGATTATGGGCATGGAAATTCAGAGGGATCGCCAAGCTCGAAGGTTGAGTTTGTCACAGAAGAGTTATATTGAGAAAGTGCTTGAGCGGTTCAACATGCAGAATTACAAGCCTGTGAGCACACCACTTGCTGCTCATTTTCGTCTTTCTGCAACTTTATCACCACAGTCCGAAAAGGAGAAAGAGCACGTCACGTGTTCCTTATCCTAGTGCAGTTGGTAGCTTGATGTATGCAATGGTTTGCACTCGCCCTGATATTTCACATGCAATCAGTGTAGTTAGTAGATGTATGGATAATCCAGGAAAAGAACATTGGCTAGCCGTGAAGTGGATGCTTCGGTATTTGAAAGGTACTGCAAATTTTGGCTTAATTTATCAGAAGAGCATTGATGATTTTGGCAGTGTTGTTAGTTTTGTGAACTCCGATTATGCTGGTGATTTAGACCGAAGATCTCTGACAGGATACGTCTTTACTCTCTCAGGTTGTGCAGTTAGTTGAAAAGCAACTTTGCAATCTACAGTTGCTCTCTCTACTACAGAAGCAGAATATATGGCGGCCACTGAAGCAGTGAAGGAAGCCATTTGGTTGAGAGGTTTGGTTAGTGTTTTGGGTTGCAACAGAGCTCAACTGTTGTTTATTGTTATAGTAAGAGAGTGATATATTTGACCAAAAATCAAATGTATCACGAGAGAACCAAACGCATTGATGTCAGATATCATTTTATTCGGGATGTCATATCAAAAGGAATTACTACATTGAAGAAAATTGGCACAGCTAAAAATCCGGCGGATATGATGACAAAGTCCATTCTGGCTCTCAAGTTCACGCATTGCTTGGACTTGGTTGGTGTTCTCAAATGTTGAAATTGCCCTTAAGGGCTTTGTGGAGAAGACAGTTTGTTTAGCAGAGATACAGTGGCTCATTTGAATTTTCACCAAGGTGGAGATTTGTTGAATCATGTGGCTCAAATTTGAGATTGCATCACCCATTACATCAGCTGGGGACCACAAGCTTCCATCAGACATATGAATTCAATTTTCATGCTTGCCGTGTTGAACTTTCAAAATGAGTGATCAGCAAGTATACTTGATCACCAAGTTGTGGTGTCAGCTCCATGCGTGATCAGCAAGTGTGGTTGGTGATTTCTTGGCTATAAATAGCCTACACTCCATGGTGGTTTTGGCATCCAAAAAATTTGAGTGTGCTTTTTGCTCAATATCAAGCAAAGTAAAGTGTGTGAGAGCTTGGGTGTAATTGGGTTTTGGGTGTGAGCCACTTAGCCTTATATCTCTTTATTTCCATAGTGAAATATTGTTCTGTCTTCTCCCCGTGGACGTAAACATAGCCGAATCACATAAATCCTTGTCTCGTTTGTGTGTGTGCCTATTTTATTTTCTTGTCATTTATTTTTTTCTTTGTTCTCATAAACTCCTATTCGATCCTCATTTCATAACAAATTTCCTATCTTCTCCTAAAAAAACACAACTAAGAAGATCTCATTTGTCAAAATTATTGAAATGGTATAAAGAAATGTGGTAAATATTATCATTGATGTTTTGGGTGCCAAGCACTTTCCCTTTACATAATCGACCTGCTAAACATACAAGTAAGGTTATGTAGACTAATTATGAAGTCACTAGTTTAAAGGAAGCCATTTCTAATATAATTTCCAAACACCAAGTAGTCCAAGTCAATTTAATTAGAAAAGCCTTTTGTTAAAATTTGATTCTTTCAGACATTTTTCTTGAAGTGACCTAACAAATAATCAAAAGCATTTCATGAATGAATCTCTGTCATGGTACAAATTAGGATGCGACACAACTGACCTCATAATGGTCCTAAACCCAACCTTAGTTGCACAACAAAAGCAATAGGAAAGCTGGTAAGATAAATACAACATAGACCATAAGTCCAGTCCACTACATGAAAATCATGGAATACATCAAAGACAAAATGTGCATTTACAAACCTCATCTGAGTGGCCATTAACAAGCCTCGTCTGAGTGGCCATGATATGTCTAGCTTGTACGGAGTGACCAGAAACTACCCAATCTAAGAGACAAAACTTATTCCTAAAATCCTAATCAGAGGGAATTCAAATTTGTTCAAGATAGAACTTTGACCAGCTCAGGACATTTACACGGGCCATAAATGGAAGGTAATTTCAATGGCCAGATTATAAAATCACTAAACACTAATCTCAGATTCAAGCACTAGAAATCCCAAGTCTCTTTGACTGCAACTTACCAGGTAGGCCATAAGCCATATACTTTTTTAAAAAAGGATTTATCAAGTTTACGATTAATTGTGTTGCCAAACCTAAGTTACCAGTTCTTCTCTCTAAAATACTCCATAAACTCTAATGCCATGGTTTTATAGGGGTAATAAAAGGATCTATGTTGTTTTCACTAGGCCAAAGGAAGAGGTAAATGCTGCAAAGTGAAAACAAGCAATTGACTAAAATCAGTAAAGCCTTATTCCATCTACTTGGATGGACAGCACAAACCCTTTTGTATTATTCTGCAGCATTTCTGCTCAACAATCTAAGCCGAAGCATTTCATTGGGGAAACGGAAAAAATCTTACACAAGGACAAGATGAATATATTAAGTCAAGTCCTAAAGGTGCAAGTACAGTAAATGTATACACAATTTCCTTTTGCCACTCTTGGGAATAAGTTAAAAAAAGGTCCCAAAATAGCAATCACACCGAAACCTTTATTCTTTCTTTATATATATACTTGACACAAGAATTTCATGCATTTAGGATGAAGCTCAATTCTTACTTGCTTCTTGCACAAGTACACACTTTTTAAATAATCATTATTATCTCAGTATGGAAAATACATACAACAAAAATACCAATTCTAAATGTGGCATTCTGGAAGAGAATTGTGAAGAACTTACATTACCTATGGTGCCAATACCAGCCAAAGCAATCCCTATCCAGTCAATAGCATTCATGACTTCCTTTAGATAAAAATGTGAAAAGATTGAAAGAATAGCAAGACCACAGCCAGAAACTGGTTGGATGACCGATACCTGGATCACACTGTCAAAATTAACAAGATGATGTATATGCAAATATAATGCAATGAGTAATCACATCATCAATTTTACTTAGTATGGAACTGAGGAATTTGTTTAATATAGAAAAAACACCTGCATTATTTGTTTCTACTTTAACAGTTCACAACAACACTAGTACTTTCTATATTTCAGATGTTTGAATCGTTTGATAACACATGACATGTAGGTTTATATTGTTTTTAACTTGATACTAAAAGTAAAAGATAAAAAAGAAATGATAAAGAATAATATAGAGAAAGGCGGAAAGCTTAAAAGTTAGAAGCCTCTAACATTACTGCATGTTTGTACCGACTCAGGAACCTCCAAGGCAACTATGCTGCAATTTAAGAAATGGAAGAACCCACAGTCTCATTCAAAACCATAATTTTGTTCTTTAATGCAGCTAAAACGGCTCAGGTAATAGTGAAAAACTTCAACAATATTTTCCAAAACATTTACAATACACCATATAAGATCGACGATTAGCAGATATGCTGCAAAGACAATAAGTAATGCACATATTGCTGTACAATTTTGTAGTTCTTTTTCTCTCGTTAACCAATTGGAAATTTTGATGAGCTACAAAAGATCATTCAGATGTTGATTCAAGTAAAATTAAACTAATATATAGAAGCATGCTGCTTCTGCACTTACAGGAGCTCGAGATAATGCCTGTAACATCAATATAGCTCCAAAAATATCCATTAGAAAACCCATAAGCCAAGCTCTATTGAAAGCATATGCCCTTATCACCTACACACACAAATCAATTTATATTAGTATGTCCCACAAACTGAATTTTCAGGAACTCGCTTCTTAGAATAAAATAAAAGACCGATAAAGCTTCTCCTAGATAACTTACACCACTAGAAGTAATAATGCAAAAGAAGTTAATAAACTGATGTAGACCATAATTATTAAAATAAACAAACGCATATAGAGACTACAAGTGCTTCATAATACAGAAATTATAGTTCACAGAGAGAAGAAATACTGGAGAAAGAGTTTCTCGAGTAATAATTAGTATGTGCATGGTGGGCATGTTACCCGACACAGGTAAGAGAATGATGTTCCTCTATATGACTCTGCCTCGAAATGGAAACCATTGTTGTAGTTTAAAAATCCTAGTATATTATGCTAATGACTAGTATAATAATGAACTAGACTGCTATGCCCAACATATTGGGGCAAACAAATTACACCTTCTCAACATAAGGAATCCACATTGTTGCTGAGAAATCTGGCTATCTTGGTGGAATCAAGGAGAAATTTCTGAAGCAAAAAGAAAGCACTTTCAGGCGCCTAAACGAGAGACTCTATGGGCCGTAACCACCCTTTCTTGTTTAAAGGGGCGGCGGATTCTATATTGTCAACTATGAAATCTTATGCAAATTAAGCATCAATTGTGTCAATAGAAAATGCTATAAACAATAAACTCGAATCAATCAGTTATACTCCTATTTGTCCCACCACAACAGGCTATTCCATCCTCTCTCTCAAGTCCCCAAAACTGAATACAAAAATGAATAATGTACAGTGACAAATCCATCACAAACCCTGTTGTAATCATATAATAACTCACCACAACAACCCATTCAGAATTCATCAAAATTCATTGTTCGTTTAATTGATTACCATTAACAACCCATTCAGAGAATGTACATAAAGATTAAAGACATGACACCTACCCGGTGAGAGAGAGAGAGAGGAAGATGATACATATATATAAACAAATTTTCCAATCAATAAAAGTAAGAGACACAAAGAAAAGCAAAATGATTCACAAAAACCGAAAATGAAACTACTCAGATATACACAAAGATATATAAATAAATGTATATATATGTGTAAAGAAAGCAATTGAACGTGCCTTGATCTTGAAAGAGAGAGGGGGAAGAATGACGGTGCCCTTCTTCTGGAGGACTTTGCCGATGTTGTTACCGGCGGTGGCCGCGAGCGTTAGGCAGATCGACTCCCACATCTCTCTCACCCCCTCTTCTTTCTCTCTCTACTTTCTCTTTCTTAAACTTGCAATTGTATTTCTTACATTACCCCTAGAATTATCGTGGTTACTTTTTTACAATGAGTGTCACCAGACCAATAATGTATTGCTTTAAAATTGTTAGAAAATAAATTAGTTTAAAGTTTAAAAAATTAATTTAAAATTGAGTAGCTGGAATAAATTAGTTTACACATCTGGAATCTTATTTTGAAATTGTATATTAAATATGAGGTGAGGATAATTAAAAAGATATAAATAACTTTTATTTTAATACATATTATATTTTATTTTTTTATATACTTGTAATTTTATCTTAACTAAATAAATTGACTATTAAAGAAAGAGGTAAGAACTTTGACTATCGGGTAAAATTTAACTGTAATCATAAAATACTAAATCTAAGATAAAAAATTATAATTTCTAATCTTAATTATTTAAAGATTAAGAGAAAAGGTCTCCCAAAGGAATGTTTATAAGCAAGCATAATAAAATTCAAATTATTGCATTATATTAGGATTTTGATTGTATAATTATAAGTTTTGCTGTGTTTTCTCTCTATCATATTAAGATCTTTCTTATATTAAAAAATTACTTTTAAAATACACAAAGCACCCCAAATAAGCTTTGAGATAAGCAGGCACCTTATTCAATATAAAATAACAAATCTAAATTCATGAAGTATAGCATTTTAAAAAAAAAAAAAAATTGAACAAATTTAGCTCTCATTTCCAACCTTCAATGCATTGATGCATTTTGATACCTCAAATTAATATTTAATTTAAATAAATTAAGGATAAAGTGTTAAAAAAAAATTTAAAAAAAAATCTGCTATACAAAAAAATGTGTAAAATCCCTCTTATGTTGTGTTTAGTAGAAAGAAATAAAGTGAAAAGAAAATAGGAATGAAGTAACTAACTTCCTTTGTTCGGTAGAGATGATATAAGGAAATAAATAAGAATTATCTTTTATAAATTTTTATCTGTTCAAAAATGGGCAGAAGAAATAAGAGAAAATAAGTGGACTATTATAAAAAATTTAAATTAAATATTATCCTAAATTATACAAGTTTTAAATTATAGTACTATTCTCTATAAATTGCAATATTATAAAATATTATTGGATATAATGGTAAAAATAATTAAAATTTTCATTTTCCTTCCCTATTAACAAATATAGTTGTATCCAACCGAACAAGAAGAAAGAAATATACAATCTTCGAGTAATGTTTTATCCATCCCTTCTTGTCTTTCTCTTCCATCCAAATTTTTTGGTTCCTATCTAACAAAAGCATTAATAGGTATGTACATGCATATAAATTCTTATTATAATTTAAATTTTGTAGCAAATTGCTCATGGTCATCAATTTTGACAAATATTTGTAAAAATTTCAAAATATCCTTAATAAAATTTGTGTATATAAATGTTTTATTTTTATTTTTAAAATTTTATTTTAATGACATTTTAAGAATTTCAATCTTTAAATTGAGTATTGGCAAGAACTCTAAACTCGAAGCCTGTTTTATTGGCAAGAACTCGGACACGAAGCCCCACTTTTCATTTTGAGAGATAGGGTTAGACTATAGCCTGATAATTAAAAGATTAATCAATTAAGTGTGTTTTTTATAATGTGATATAGACATCACTTAAAGAATATACATCACTGAAATGAAAATTTTAAATGACTTCAATAATAAATAAACAATAAAGCATTTAAAAACTAGCCAAAAAAAAAAAAAATCGATTTAATAATTAGTACTTAAAAGTTTTTAGTTTTATCAAACAGATTCTATGTCCCCACTGCATGATTTTCTAAAGCATTATTCTTCTTATTAATACATATGCTGGCATATTTGCACACTATCTTTTTAATCATTAATGCCCGAATTAATCCAAGTGTGAATAATGAATTAAAAGGACTTCTTTGTGTTTTTTTTTTTTTTTTGCATAACAAGATTTAATGTGTTTGATTCTATAACGTAAAATGATATAATTAAGGTTGCAGCATATATTTCCTATATGCATGGATATACTTTTGATTCCATAAGAAGAGAATTTTGGGAGAAAAAAATAATGGAAAAGGTTATTTATTATGAAAAATGATACTTGCACCGAAGAAACAAATCAATTTTTCTTACCTAATCTATGTGGTTGTCTTTGTGGATATGTGTTATAAGTAGAACTTGTCTCACATTGGATTTGGATGGGGGTTGAAGTATGTATAAATTGGTAGGTATGTAGCATTACCCAATAATTCGTTGGGTAAATGGGCAAGCGTCCACCCGTTATAATATGTCATATTACAATATTTAAAGTTATAATTATTAAGTTTCTCTCTCTTCCTTTTTTTTTTTTTACTATCCTTTCTCATCTTCACCCCAAGAGTCCAATCTTTTATCTTTTTTTCTCTCTCTGTCTCCTTCTCTCTTCAATTTTTCTTTGGTTATCTCATCCATCTTCCTCACACTACTGGATACCTTCATTTCAATAAAATTAAATTGTATTACAAAAAAATGAATGTTAATGAAATCCAAATGGTTGTTGAGACTCTTCGTATACATTGTTATGATAAAATCATCTTAATAAAATTAAATTGTATTATAAAGAATGGATGTTAATGGAGTTCAAAATGATTTTGTGGGTACTAATTTTTTGATTTTTTACTCTCCTTATACTTGTATTACTTTTATCTTTTGGTATAGTCTCTTATTTTACAATCAACTAAACCAATCAAACTCATAAGTTTTAAGTTTTTTTTTTTTTTTTTTCCTTAAGTCTACATTGACAAAATAGAGATCACAGATATTTATGGAGAAAAAATTGAAGATAATTAAATAATGAACTAAATTTGTAATAGAAGACGACAAACAGCTAGTGCAGCGGTATTTATAGGAAATAAAATAGAGATAAATTAAAGGAGTTAAATTTCTAATAGAAGACAAGCTAAGGGGTCCAAAATAAAATTAGAAGTTCAATGCTATGTAATAACCGTATGATCTAATGCTAAATATTATCTGTCTTTTTATGTGCCACATAGATCTGCCTAACAAATTGGACTAAATTTTTTGCCTAAATATGCTGACTCATTTATTATTTGACAATTTTTGGAACCCAAATAAATGATAATAATTACTATATATTTATAGACCATCTCAGTGCTTGGAAAATGATTAGGTATACGAGTACTGCTATTTTCCAGACAGAACCCAAAAAAAAAAAAAGAAAAAAAAAAAAGAAGGAAGTGGCTACCTTTTCGTATTCTACCAAAATAACACTTCCTTCCTTCCTATTTGTTTCTTGTTTGTTCATTATCTCCTTTATTTTCTCTCTTCATTCTTATCTGTGTTCATCGTGTCTTCCTTGTTCCTCCTCTGCTTCTGTGCTTTATTCATCCCTTGATTGAGAAGTTGCTTCAAGCTTAGTAGTTGCAATTTCCTTTTTGAGTCTTTTGCTCAGCCTCACGCAACATACCAAAAGGAAAGTTTGATCACAAGGCAGGTCTATTTGTATTAGCACAGAGTGCCACACAGAGGGTGTAAACAGTTGTAAAATTTTTCAAAGAAACAACTATATCAGGAGGTATGGATTCAAGTTTACATAATATGTATTCTTCTTTTTTTTCTTTTTCTTTTTTGTATGGATAGTTACTCACTTTAAAAAATTTTACTATAAAAAAATATCTTCTTTTTCAAACAATATTCATGAAAAATTAATAAATTACGTAAATAAAAATATTTCTTTTTAGTGCAATATATTCATGAAAATTAAGAAATTACTTAAATTGTCTCAAAATTTTCTATTTAAGATTTTTATTTAAATAATTAATTAAAAAAATTAACGGCAAACTAAATTTAATGGAGAATATTTCATCAAATTAGTATGACTTTTTTTCATAATTTATTTCAACAAGAAAAATATATCTAAGTGTAATTTAATAAGAAAGGGTATTATAGTCATTTAATGAAAAATAGGTAGGACAATGGGGAATTTTGCAACCAAATGTGATAATTTAGGGGGTTTTATGTACAAAACATAGTTCAGATGGGGTTATTTACAAATTTAGACATAATTGAAGGGGATTTTTTGCACTTTATCCTAAATTACCATGTTATTCCTTAAAGTTTGGACAAATTTAAATATGGATAAATTATAGAGTAGTGACACTGAATAACCTAATCCAATGGTTTTTAATGGATTATTTATACTAAATAAAAGTAAGTGGAGAATCCCATTCCTTTATTTATTGCATAAATGATCAATTAAATATATATAGTAGGTTTAACAATTCACTACACCTAATTGCTGTAAAAATCATTTTTCAAAATTATATTGCTCAAGAATCATTTTCCTAAATTATATTACTCTTCCTTCAAGTTTGGACAAATTACACATGATTTGACTATTGAGCGGGTGGGTTCAACAATACCCCTAGGGTTTTTTTTTTTTTTTTTTTAAAGCATACCTTTTGAACAATTTTATCTTTTTATTGTATAATATATATTATTATAATTTCCCTAAAAATTACTTTTCCGTAACCCACAAACAAATTTAGAAGTGTGGTCGCATAATAAATAATGAAGGGCTACCCGCATGTGACCTTCCTTTAGCTTTATCTAAATGTTTAGTAGATTAAAATTTTCATTAGCAATCAAGATTCCCTCCTACAAAGCTTGCCCTCCATTCACATCAGCAAAGAATATGTTCTACAATGCAACACTATTATGCTATGTTTGAAAGCAAATCGATGTCTTAAACTTAGAAATCGTAGTTAAATTCATCAATTTTATTCGATGTTCCCAAATATAATCTTAAACTAATTCCCAATTGTTTCAGTTTTCTTTGCAATCCAGCACAGGCCATCGGTACAATACGTAACACCGCAATGGCATTGAAGCTCTTGTTTTCTTTTAATCGCTCAAATGTAGTTAGAAATCATTCTATTACAAAAGCAATGATGAAATGTTGTAATTTAGCATGCAACAATCACAATGCTATTGCTAACTACGTATTTTGATCGACGATAGATCATCTTCAAGTCGAGGAAACAAAGGAAGAAAA